GGATCACCGCCCTGCAACAACCGTATCGCCTCCCACGCGGTCTGGTACTTCTCCGAATGAAGCCGCACTTTCGATTGGTTCCTCGTCACAATCGTCCGTGAGCGCGTGTTCGCGCCTTGATGCCCTGCATGCCCTTTCTTGTACACCAGCAGACGCGACTTGATATGCAGCTGGTTGCGCAAGCGCACCAAGCTGCTGCGGCACTGGGCGTTGCGCATCATCGCCTCAATGTGCTCCACCCCGCCCATGCACAGCTCGCGCTGCTCAGGGGTGAGGGCCGAAGGCAGCATCAAAGGCACGTCTTCTGCCAGCGTGTTCGCAGGCAGCGCCTTCGCCCCCAACGCCTGCACCGCGACGGGCATGTAGGCCTGCTGAATCTTGCGGAAGCGAGATATCGCGCGGTTGAGCTTCGTGCGCAGGGCCCCAAGGTCGATCTGCATCTCGGTCGTCTGTGCGCGCTTTAACTCGGCCTGCACGCGGACGCGGCGTCTGCATTAATGACTGTCTGTCAGACAACGCGCTTCACCGCACAAAAGCAGATACGCACTGCTCCTCCTCAAGATCCAGCCCAGCGACGATGAACGAGCTGGGGCTTACATCGTGGAGCGACGGTACGCCGAGCTTCGAGTCCGCCTGCTCCGTCTTGGAGAACCTGAGTCGTACATCCGCCTCTGTCTCGCCTATTGCTCCGTCATCAGCCAACAGCACCCACGATGACCAAGTTTGAAACTCACCGCCCACCACGACCTTGTAGGGGTTCGCCTTCCTCGGGTCTAGCTCGAAGTCTATGACCTGCTGGCGCCACTCTGGTACCCGATCCGCCTGCTGGGCTGTAAACTCGTCGAGCGCAGCTTGCTGCTCCGTTAATTCCGCGGTCGCTCGATCCAGTCGCTTCCTCAGCAATTCGACTACAGACGCCGAGTAAGCCCCTAAACCGCTGATATAGACAGAGACTGACCAAAAGTGACCAATTTCCCCCAATTCCACCCCGCAATCTGCGCGTCGAGCATGTCATGGCGCGCGCCAGGCCCAGCATCCCGCGTGCAGGCGGCCACGGCGCCTAGAGACGACCAAGCGCGCTCGATCCCCTCCCCCTCGAGCTGCGCGCTGCCTAGTAGCCAGTTGAGCGAAAACAGGAGTTGACAGATGAGCGTGTGGGAGTGGATGTGCATCTTCGGGATGGCGAAACGCAGGAGGGTGAGGACGATGGTGAGGCGGACGTGGGAAGGGAGATTCTTCAGACGGTCTAGAAGGTTGACCGTCCAGATGCAGACGATGTTGTATGTAATGAATTTTGCCAGGTGCGCCGGCCAGTGCTTCAATATTGAGGCAGAAATCCAATCGATGTTGGCGAACCTGAAGGACCATCAGCACAAACACGCTTGGTCGGGCGGTCGAGGCGGTCTAAGCTTACCGTTCGCCCTTTTGGAGATCCCCGACGCCATTCGGCTGGACGAACTCGTGTCGTCCGCAGACCCCCATCCCCACGCCCGTCGTTGCGTACCCCCGCGAGAACTTGGTGTTGGCGTAATCCAAGGCGGCAAGGCCGCTACAGGTATTCATTTTTTTTTTTGGTGGTAGTTAGGCGGGGAGCGCGCGAATACCGCAAGAAAAACTGACCTCTTTCTGATCCGTGACCGTTCTTAAATACTCGCGATACGGCGCGGTCGTCACCATGTACGCCCAACCGGAGCCCAAGTCGGGGTCCCTCAGCTCGCTTGAAACGAGGCGCCACTTGAGACGAAAGCAGGCGTCCAATGCAAGGAAGAGGGTATACAGGAATCTGCGAACATCGTCAATAAGGAACAGCGCGCACTCAAGGTAGATGCCAACCTGTCCTCGGGCGACGCTTTCTCCCACCCCTCCGGTAAATTCACCCCAGGGCGCGGACAGCCCAGGCATCTCACGGCCAGCTCGCCCTCCACCGTACCTTCGACCCCCGACGGATCGTACGCGACGGCGCGCCCGCCGTGCTTCAGCAGCATGCAGTGAAACCACTCCCGGCACATCCGAATCCACTCGTGGTATCGGTCGGGCGGTTTGTTACCAGTGTTGTCCGTGAGCTTCTCAAGCGCGCCGTAGGAGTCGTATAAAGTCATCTTGCACTGTAGCGCATCGATGTGAAAGCTGACTGAATCTCAGCGCTAGAGCCAACCACACGGGGAAGAAACCTACCGCTCCAGCAGCTCTATCGTCGCGCAGGTCCGAGGTCGTTCATGCGTCGCCGGGAACCAGCCCGCGTCGAGCAATTGTTGTTCATGAGGGCCTGCGTCGAAAGCGTGTTCGCAGCCGCAAAAATCCACCGTAACTTCGTGGATGCCGTTCGTGTGCAGAACGACGAAGCCTGTTGGGCCGCGCTCCGGCGTTGGGCATGGGGAGTCGGGCGCGTGACCCATTTGTATCCTCAGACCGAGCATGGCCATCGAAAATTTGACAAAAAAACGGCCGTTCCAATACTACACCAAAGAGGGTCGATCAGTAGGGAGTCAGTTGCGTACGGCGAAATACGTACCTCCAGACGATGCAGAGGGTTCTCGCGATGGCGCTGGAGCACGCAATCCCGACAGTAAAGGATCCCCCCAAAGCATTGTCGACACCGAAATTGACGTGGCTTGTTGCTGCACCCGGGGCAAGGCGATCCGTCGGTGTCGTTTCCTCGCGGCGCGTGGGAATGGAGGAGTTTGCTCAGGTACCCGTCGCGCTTGTATCGTCACCAATTGTCCAGCGAGACATCCTGAGGGTGTCGTGAGCTCGATATTCTCGCTGACAAAACAGAAACGGTGACGCACCGCCGGCTTCACGACACGCGCCAACAGCTCTTCCGTGGGCCGGGGAAGAGGCTCTGGTCCCGGCTCCCCTTCGTCGTCCTCGAACAGGTTGTATCTCTCATGGTTCAGGACAAACTCGAAGCCGGCGAAGGGGTCGGGATCCACGTTCGTTACAGGCGGCTTGGGGGCACCAGAAGCGTTGAGGCGTCGTTTTTTCACGGGCGATGGAGGGTTCACAGGAACGACCTCGACATAGAGCCGCCTGCGGTCATCGGAAATGCGGTGGACGGTGGTCTCCACGGCGGCGTCCTCGGGTTGCAGGTCCATGTCGGCGAGATTGAACAGGTGCTGGTGGCTGCTGGATCCGACCGGGGCCGGTGCCGACGTTGTCCGTGGCTTGGACCCGCGCGCCATTGAGGACGCGAACGCGACTCGACACGTCAACCAAAATCTGTGCTTGCTCCTGTTTGGCTGTGGCCTCCGCGGTGAGATTAGGGGCTCATTTCCTTTTCCAGGGAAAAAAGAATCTCCGCAACCGCAACATGGCCTAACCTCGACTCGAATGAGGACCTCGCGCATACCTAACGCGCACTAACAATCGTGCTGCTAGGCCACGCATAGCTCACCTTCCTGTTACCTTAAGTCGTTTTATTCTCATTTCGCGTTGAGCTGACATTAGTTTCTCTTTTTCCAAGCCTGCCCTAGTTCGCGTCAACAACCACAAACGGCCACGTATACCCGCAGCCCGCAGCACTCTCTTTTTATTCTCTACCACCACCACCATGGACGACCCTTCCGGCATGATTTATCCCTCTCGTCCCTCTAGCGCGCCCAACAACGGGTCTTTCGCTTGTGCACTTCCTCTCTATACACACTCTACCTTCAAAGGAATCAACGAGCACGAAGTGGACGGACGGTCGACCTGGATCTTTCTCAAACATCCTACCGATTCGGCAGCGTTCACCGACTTGTACGTCCCCGCATTAACCTCCTTTTACAGATATTGATTACTCCCTTACAGAACCTCCTACAAGATGTTCATACTCATGCTGAACGACCGCAACTACACATACGAGGACCATCGCGACCCCAACAAAGTCGTCAAATTCAAGAAAATCCTGGACGTCGCTCAGGAACACTGGCAATTTTGCGTTTCGCAGCACGCTCACCCCACAACAGCGGTCCAGCAGATGAACGAGACGCAAATTGTGCCGGAGGTTGAGCTCCACCGCCTCGTTTTCCACGACCCAACCAAGTGCGATGTACGTTTGAGGCTCCCCCGCGAGCATTACAGGCTGGGGAAGCTCTTCCCCTGTCTCTACGAGGGGCAAACCGAGCTCTTCCCGCGGCAAACCGCCATGCCCGCCGCTCCGCCCGTGGTGCCATCGCAATCCGCGCCGTCGAAAGGCGCCCCCGCGCCCGTCGCGCCCTCCAAATTCCACCCCTCCTCGAACGGCCCGCGCGGCAGGACCATCACTTACGTCCCTGGGTCACCGCGGCCCAGCATCTCCGCAGACGCCCTCGACCCTCTCTATTATACGCTGAAAACGTACAAGGACGCGTCGGGCGCGTTCCCCTCTGCGACGCCGGACGCGTCCTCCTCCGCGCCGAACGCGTCGACCTCCACGCCGAACACGTCGACCTCCTGCGCGCCCAGTAAGACTTCCTCATCCGCGCCCACCGCGTCGCCCTCTTCCAACGGGCGCGCGGCGTTGTCCCCCTCTCCCGAGGGGCCGTGGTTTCTGTTGTCTGACGGGCAAGTTGAACTGGACCCGTAAGTCCCTCCCTTCTCTTTTTCTCTTCTTCTCCGTATGCTCACCCCAGCCCAGACGCAAAGCTGCGAAGTTGGCACGGGAGGGTCCGGGTGGTACGCGCCTCGACATCAAGATCGTCGACACCCTCGCCCAAGCGCAACAGTTGCGCTCGCAGTTGATCCACGCGGCGCACGAGGCACGCAAGGCGGCCGGGGGCGGGTGATCGTTTCGCGTTTTTGTTGTTTGCTTTGCCGTCGTTCCTTTTCTGTCGCTTGATTTTCTGTCGCTTGCTCTGCTGACCGCGGCTCTTATGTAACATAGAACTAGTCTACCAATGCCGCCATGTACCAATGCAAAATAAAAGTCACCCACGAATATACATCGCGTTTTTCTGCTCATGAAATGGTCCTCGGCGTGCAAAGTCTGAAAAAAAAAAAATGAAAAAAAGGCGGTTTTGTGGCGAGCGACAAAAAGAGCATGCCCGACACGGGAGTCGAACCCGCGAGTTCCTAGGTGCAGAAAGTCTAAACCACAAGCATCACAAGGTGTGTTAACCGTTACACCATGCAGGCGTAGACACGAGCGAAGGGTTACCCAAATGTACTGGCTGAACGACGCCGACGAAGAACGCGCAGGAGAATACACGCTGATCTCTACTGCCCAGTTGCACGTGCCACATAGGGGGCTTTGGTTGTGTTGTCACTCAACCTTCTCACCCACTCTACTACTCGACGGCGGGGTTCTACGGCGCTTCGGCGGTCGCGCTGAGGCGCTGTGTAACATCGCGGAGGTTGTGCGGTCGTCGCAGGATCTTGGCGGCACTCCTAGCGTAGGGTTAGTCTGGTAAGCCTCCACCTGCTTTGTTTTCCACCCGATTTACTTAATGTATTCGCCCAGACGACATTGCACAAGCCTCCAGGGGCAGTCGCCATCCGCCGGGAACGCAGTCACTCCACGGAGTGGACTAGACGACGTTCCCAGCATCCAGATGCAACGGCCGTCCGGGGACGCTGTCCGTCCGGGAACGCAGTCACTCCACGGAGTGGACTAGACGACGTTCCCAGCATCCAGATGCAACGGCCGTCCGGGGACGCTGTTAGTCGTGTGAAACCCGCCGAACCGACCGTCGCGCTCAGCCGTTTTCCTTCCTCGTCGCCGGTGATCTTGCCCTCGGCGCCTTTTTCTGGCCTGGTAAGCGCCCCATCCCGATTTTCGCCTTCGACTGACCCAATCCCTTCGTAGAATGTCTCTGTTGCACCCGCCGCATCGCCCGCGTGCGCCGTGGGCCCGCGCTCAGCCGTTTTCCTCCTTGTCACCGGTGCTCTTGCCCTCGGCGCTTTTTTTTTGCCCTGGTAAGCCCCTACGCCCAATTTTTGCCTTCGACTAACCCAATCCTTTCGTAGAACGCTGCTGTTGCACCCGCCGCATCGCCCGCGTGCACCGTGGGCCCGCGCTCAGCCGTTTTCCTTCCTCGTCGCCGGTGATCTTGCCCTCGGCGCCTTTTTTTGCCCTGGTAAGCCCCTACGCCCAATTTTTGCCTTCGACTAACCCAATCCTTTCGTAGAACGCTGTTGTTGCACCCGCCGCATCGCCCGCGTGCGCCGTGGGCCCGCGCTCAGCTGTTTTCCTTCCTCGTCGCCGGTGATCTTGCCCTCGGCGCTTTTTTTTGCCCTGGTAAGCCCCTACGCCCAATTTTTGCCTTCGACTAACCCAATCCTTTCGTAGAACGCTGCTGTTGCACCCGCCGCATCGCCCGCGTGCGCCGTGGGCCCGCGCTCAGCCTTTTCCTCCTCGTCGCTGCATCCCCTCCGTGCGCGGCCAGCCCTTGGATGATCCTATTTTAGTCGCCGACCACGTCTTGCTCTTCGACGGATCCAAACCGGGGGACTAAAGTTGTAAATTAATTGCTGCAGACGTCGTTGTTGTATACGTAGTGTTCAAATGCCATCTTATCTCGCTTACTCAAAGTTAACATCGAGGAGAAGGGGCGCTAGATGAGCGCTTAATGGGCGCTTAATGGGCGCTTAAGTCGCTGCCATTTTGGGCATATAGCGAACATGCTACGGTATAGCGAACACGCCACCGTCCGTGCGGCACGGACAGCGAGCTACAGCCTGACCATTCACTCTCCCCGCCATCGACTGGCGGACGACCATCCCTCTTTTCTGCGTGCCGACCCGTCTGATTTTTCGGCTTTTTTTTGGAACTTCGGCGGCCTCGACGAATATTTACCACGAGAAACAGATCCCAGCGCGGATTTTGGCCCAGACCACCGCGGTCTTTCCTCAACTTTCGAGTCCACCACCTCCACCTCCAACTCCGCTTTCCCGCACTGGACACAACCATCGTCGGGTCTTGGGGGCCGTGGCATGAAGCAGAAGGTCAGTGATGCTCAGCGAGCCGCAAGTTCGCGGTATCGTGAGAGGTGCGCCGCTGGTGGCTCCTTCGGGACTCTCTCACTCACGCTCAACGAGCAGAAATAAAGCAGAGTTGCAGCGGAAGGCGCGTCAGCGCATGGCGACGCGTCGCGCGGAGCTGAAGATGAACGACGAGGCTTGGGCCGTCTATCGCGCGACGGCTCGGGAAGACGGCGCACGCTTCCGCGCCCGGCACGCGCCCGACCTGGCGCTCAACCAAGTGACCTACCGTAGCAGGTGCGTGTGGTCCCCACAACTACCCCGATTTCCTACTGACTTATTGTGCGCAGCAAATCCATTGCCAAGATCGGCCACGAAGCTTGGTGGAAAGGCTACCTCAAGCGCCATCCCAGACCCCCACCCGTTCAGGAGGAGGACTTGCCAGATTGGCCTTCCGATTCGGATTCCGAACACGACCCACTGCCCGAGCCTTCGGATTCCGAAGGCGACGCGCAGGACGACGACACCCCCAAACTCCCGCCGCGCCCGCCCGAGTCTGCGCCCTACGAGGAGTGCCTCAACCATTTCCTCGACTACGAGGACCCAACAACGGCACCCAACTATGTGCCCAAACCCGGGCAACAACCCTTCTTCCAGCGTGGGAAACGGCGCTGGCATTGACTTTTCTTGTACTCGCCCACACTGATCCAGAATAAATTTGGGTTTTTGCTTCAAATAGTGGGATGGGAGGACAATTGCTACTACCAGTACTACAAACACCTCAAAACCCGCACCAAGAAACCCCGCGCTGGCAACGTACCCCAAATCGGCGCGCTGGCGAAGCGACTCAGAGAGCTGAAGGGGACGAGAGCGACGCCGACTCACCTAGTCCAGGGCGTACGGGCAACGCTGTTCGGGGCGAACACGACGAGCGATCGCCTGGATTTGCTCCAGCGCAAGCTCGGCCTCCTCAACGGTGGTATACGCCGCCCCTTCGAGTTCTTCGAGTCCGTCCGAGTCCGCGACGCTGCTGTTGTCGGCCGCAGACGCCCACGCGTGCTCCACCGTCTCTCCTTGGATGTGTCCGGGTCGCCCGACGCCGGTGTCGTCGGTGGAAGTGGGGTCGTACGCCCAGGCGTGCTCGGCCTCACTAGAGTCCTCTCCAAAAGCCAAGCGGCGGCCGCGTGGAGCTCTCCTGGTAGACATATTAAAATGTACCCTGGGATCACCACAAATGCACGTTGAAATGTACCTGCCAGCTTTCCAGGCCTGGTACGCATTGTAATGTGCACCCTGGCGGCCACCGCTGATGGGCGCTCGGCATGCGCAAAATGATGTGATGCAGTAGAAATTGATGGGAAACCCCGTTCCCATCAAAAACGTATCATGGCATCATGGCATCAAATTTGGTACGCGGACTGTCGGCAAGCTCGGCCACACATGACTGAGTGGTGCACATTGCAATGTGCACCTCCCATCAACACTCGGCCCACAAGAAATTCGAGGTGGTGCACATTGCAATGTGCACCTTCCCATCAATACTCGCTCAAAAAAGAAATTCAAGGTGGTGCACGTTGAAATGTGCACCTCCCCATCAACACTCGGCCCACAAGAAATTCGAGGTGGTGCACATTGCAATGTGCACCTTCCCATCAATATTCGGTCAAAAAAGAAATTCAAAGTGGTGCACGTTGAAATGTGCACCTCCCATCAACACTCGGCCCACAAGAAATTTGAGGTGGTGCACATTGCAATGTGCACCTTCCCATCAATATTCGGTCAAAAAAGCAAAGAGGTGAGGCACGTTAAAATGTGCACCTCCCGTCCAAAGAGCTCAAACCGTGATGCACGTTAAAATGTGCACCCCCTTTCCAAAGAGCTCAAAAAGACATTTGACGGGGTGCACGTTAAGATGTGCACCCACCTCCGCCCAAACCGAGGTGATGCACGTTAAAATGTGCACCCCACTCGCTCGAACATGAAGTGGTGCATATTGCAATGTGCATACATTGCAATATGCACCCCGGCGAAAAGAAAGAGCAGTAAGACTTCAAATAACTAAGTAATACAAGTATCAAGCTTCCTCCTCGTTAAAATCATCAAACTCGTAGTCCTCCCGCGCGTCTTCCTCTAGGTCAACCTCAATCGGCGCGAAAACTTGCTCATCAACATCTTCCACGTCGTCCCTCAAGACCATTGCCGCTCGCGCGCGCACCGGCTGCCATTTTGCATCCCAATTTTCTGCCCACGCCCGCTCCCGTGCGACCTGCTCTAGGCCGTATGCTCGCAGCCCTTCCGCAAGCTCCGGCGTAACATCCTGTCGCAAATCCAGTTGCTCCTCCCACCACTGTGCCTTCCACTGACAATACTGCAGTGTCCGCCGCATCTCCTCCTCCACCAACACCACCTCCTCCCTCCAACGATCGGCCCGCGCTCGTGCCTTTGACCATTCGACACGAATATCTAGCAACAATCAGTACACAATTCGCTGACAGCCGAAATGCTTACCAGCATGTAATTTCCCGTCGGCGTCTACCTCGCCGACGCCCATTGTTGAGTACCAAAGCCAAGACGCATGGCGAGTACCCTCGCCCGTCTCTAAATTGAAGAGAACGGTTAGTGGAATTGCCTCCCCATATTCATCAACGTCTTCCGACCCATCGCCTGTTAGCCCAGCCAACAAGCGTGCCTTCTTGTTGTCTGCCTTTTCCTCGTCATTCATCACGCGCTCATTGATTCCGCGGACATCCTCTGCCCGTAGCTCCTGTAACACCGTCTGCCAATCTCCTGGGCCCCGCAATGCCAACAATCCCGCCCACGCCGCCCGATAGCGCGCTGACGCGATCCGAATGCGATCTTCGATGCCGTCCTGTAAACTTTGACTTTTAGTGTACATTCCCTGCCCACCCATATGCTTTCGCTTGAACTGATGGGCAAATGTCCGCGTGCGGAGATTGCTGCGAAGCTCGCGCAAAGCGTCGCCAGCCTGGGCCTGCCGGAGATCGTCCTCGTTCTGGGTCAGCTGCGGGAGACACACGGTTTCGCGCGCTGCAGCCGGAAGCGATGACGGCAGGAAAATCTTGATGGTTTCGGGCCTCGAGTTGTCGGGAGCGGGAAGTGGTGGCTCCTGCTGTGCTATCCACTGGCGTAGGCCGGGCATATACGTGTTTTGCACATCTTGAAGAGCGGCCACCTTGCCCAAGAGAACCGTCCGT